GATTTGCTGCTCAGTCGCGACTATTGCAACGACTTGTGACAGAGAGCTTTGTTCAGATTTGAAATATGTTGCTGGGATGCGTCCCTTTGAAGACGTTGCTCTGCGCTGGACGCCGTCCACAGCAGCCTCTGGGATGAATGTTGACTCATGTATTAGCTGCTGACTTGTGGCTGATGCTTCGGTCTTTGGCAGAGGGGCCTGCATGGGTGTTGTAATGTGTTGGTGGTTGGCTTCCCTCCCAGACCTCGCTCTTCGCTGGACGCCGTCTGCTGCAGCCTCTGGGGTGAACTCTGACTCATGTATTAGCTGCTGACTCTCGGCTCGACTTGTGTCGAAAAGGCGTGCACACGTTTTTTGTTGGCCAATCGTACCTCACGCACAGCTCTCATACGCCGCTCTGCTCGGGACGCCGTCCGCAGCAGCCTCTGGGACGAAGTATGATTCATGGATTAGCCTCTGAATCGCGGCTACTGCTTCGAGGTTGCACGCATGTGTTGTTGACTCACATTTGCCCCAGATGGTTCTCTTCGGTGGCGTCCGTCCGCAGCAGCCTCTGGGATGAACTCTGACTCATGTATTAGCTGCTGACGTGTGGCTGATGCTTCGACTTGTAACAGAGAGGCTTGCGTCAGTGGTGCAATAGTTTTCTGATTCACATCCCTTCAAGACGTTGCTCTGCGCTGTACGCAGTCTGCCTCAGCCTCTGGGATGAATGCTGACTCATGTATTAGCTGCTAACTCGCGGCCAATGCTTCGACTTGAGACAGAGGGACGTACCCACGGGTTTGGTCTGTCCATCTTACTTCTCGAGCAGGTCTCAGACGTCGCTCTGCTCTGGACGCCGCCCGCAGCAGCCTATGCGAGGAAGTTTGACCCATGGATTAGCTGCTCAGTCGCGACTAGTGCGTCGACTTGTGACAGAGAGCGTTGTACATATTTGAAATATGTTGCTGAGATACGTCCCTTTGAAGACGTTGCTCTGCACTGGACGCCGTCCACAGCAGCCCCTGGGATGAATGTAGACTCATGTATTAGCTGCTGACTTGTGGCTGATGCTTCGATCTTTGGCAGAGGGGCCTGCATGGGTGTTGTAATGTGTTGGTGGTTGGCTTCCCTCCCAGACCTCGCTCTTCGCTGGACGCCGTCTGCTGCAGCCTCTGGGATGAACTCTGACTCATGTATTAGCTGCTGACTCTCGGCTCGACTTGTGTCGAAAAGGCGTGCACACGTTTTTTGTTGGCCAATCGTACCTCACGCACAGCTCTCAGACGCCGCTCTGCTCTGGACGCCGTCCGCAGCAGCCTCTGGGACGAAGTATGACTCATGGATTAGCATCTGAATCGCAGCTACTGCTTCGAGGTTGCACGCATGTGTTGCTGACTCACATTTGCCCCAGATGGTTATTTTCGGTGGCGTCCGTCCGCAGCAGCCTCTGGGATGAACTCTGACTCATGTATTAGCTGCTGACGTGTGGCTGATGCTTCGACTTGTAACAGAGAGGCTTGCGTCAGTGTTGCAATAGTTTTCGCATTCGCATCCTTTCAAGACGTTGCTCTGCGCTGTACGCCGTCTGCCTCAGCCTCTGGGACGAACTCTGACGCATGCTTTAGCTGCTAACTCGCAGCCGATGCTTCGACTTAGGAGAGAGGGACCTACCCACGGGTTTGGTTGGTCCACCTAACTTCTCGCGCAGTTCTCAGACGTCGATTTGCTCTGGACGCCGTCCGCAGCAGCCTACGTGACGAAGTCTGACCCGTTTATTAGTTCTCGCGGCTAGTGCGTCGACTTGTGACAGCGAGCTTTGTATCATCATGTTTTTGAGATGCATCCCATGAAGACGTTGCTCTGCACTGGACGCCGTCCACAGCAGCCCCTGGGATGAATGTTGACTCATGTATTAGCTGCTGACTTGTGGCTGATGCTTCGACCTCGGACAGAGGGGCCTGCATGGGTGTTGCAATTCCCAATCATCCTGTGGTGTCGGGTCCTCGTGTTGAAGAGACAGCGCCCCGCGTTCACTCCTCCCGCTGCCCTCTTCCCTTTTCTCATCAGCAGCATCATCAGCGTTATCATCGTCAACAGCAGCAGCATCATCAGCGTCATCGTCATCGTCATCGTCATTGTCATCATCATCATCATCATCATCATCATCATCATCATCATCATCATCATCATCATCATCATCATCAGCATCATCATCATCATCATCATCATCATCATCACCACCATCATCATCATCAGCATCATCATCATCATCATCATCATCATCATCATCACAGGCATCAACATCGTCGGTATCATCGTCGTCGTCATCATTGGCAGCATCGTCATCATCACCATCGTCGCCATCAACATCGCGGTTATCGTCGCCATCATCGACACAAATGTCGGCACAACCCTCACACGTTTCGTGGCCCCATAGGGAGCCCCACCGAAGGCCCCAGTGGCAGCGCCCGCAGGCGGTGCTCCCATTTCGGCACACCCCGCACACGTTTCGTGGCCCCATCGGGAGCTCCACCGAAGGCCCCAGCGGCAGCGCCCGCATGCGGTTCCACCCCCATTTCGGTACACCCCTCACACGCGTCGTGGCCCCATAGGGAGCTCCACCGAAGGCCCCAGCGGCAGCGCCCGCGGGCGGTTCCACCCACATTTCGGCACACCCCTCACACGCTTCGTGGCCCCATAGGGAGCTCCACCGAAGGCCCCAGCGGCAGCGCCCGCATGCGGTTCCACCCCCATTTCGGTATTCCCTTCACACGCTTCGTGGCCCCCTCGGGAGCTTCACCGAAGGCCCCAGCGGCAGCGCCCGCATGCGGTTCCACCCCCATTCGGCACACCCTTCACACATTTCGTGACCCCGTCGGGAGCTCCACCGATGGCCACAGTGGTTTCGTTCGCATGCGGTTCCACCCCCATTTCGGCACACCCTTCACACGTTTCGTGGCCCCCTAGGGAGCGCCACTGAAGAAGAGATTCACAATAGCGGTACTCACAATTGCATATGGTTGGGTCCTTCACCTGGATACTGTTTTATTGGTTGGCTTCCCTCCCAGACCTTGTTTTTCGCTGGACGCCGTCCGCTGTAGCCTCTGGGATGAACTCTGACTCATGTATTGGCTGCTGGCTCTCGGCTGATCCTTCGACTTGTGGCGAAAGGGCGTGCACACTGTTTTTGTTGGTCACTAGCACCCCTCGCACAGTTATCAGACGCCGCTCTGCGCTGGACGCCGTCCGCAGCAGCCTCTGGGACGAAGAATGACTCTTCGATAAGCCTCTGAATCGCGGCTACTGCTTCAAGCTTGCATGCGTTTGTAATGTGTTGTTGACTCACATTCATCCCAGACGTTCTCTTCGGTGGTTTTCGTCCGCAGCAGCCTCTGGGATGAACTCTGACTCATGTATTAGCTGCTGACTTATGGCTGATGCTTCGACTTGTAACAGAGAGGCTTGCGTAAGTGTTGCAGTAGGTTTCTGACTCGCATCCCTCCCGGGCGTCGGCTTGCGCTACACGGTTCGACTGGATTCCGCCTGCAGCAGCCTCTGGGATGAATGTTGACTCATGTATCAGCGGTTGTTTTGTGGCTGATGCTTCGACTTTTGGCAGAGGGGCTTGCAGACACGCGTCGTTCTACATAGTGTTGTTTGCTCGTACTGCGGTCCTACATCGATCTATGCTGGAGGCCCTCCGCGAACTCCCCGGGGATGAGTTTTGTCTCGCGCGTTAGTTGCTGACTCCTGGCTGATGCTTCGAGTTGGGACAGATGTTTTCATAATCGTTTGGTTGCACATTCTGGCTTCCATGCGCTGCAAGCAGCTCTACGCTGGACGCCTCCGCGAAAGCCGTTTTGATGAGGTTTGACTTATGTATTAGCTGCTGACTTGCGGCTGATGCTCGAATTGGGACAGGGAGGCGTACAGAAATGTGTGTCTGTATGTATTTGCTTGCTCTCACTTCAATCAGGCGTTGCTCTACGATGGACGCCCCTCCGCGAACGCCTCTGGGATGAAGTTTGACTCATGTGTCAGCTGCTGACTCGCTGCTGATGCTTCGATCTGGGGCAGGGAGGCGTACAGACACGTGAGTTTGTTTATTATTGCTTGCTCGCACTGCAGTCAGACGTCGCTCTGCGCTGGACGCCCTCCGCGAACGCCTCTGGGATGCATTCTGACTCATGTATCAGTTGCTGACTTTCGGCTGATGCTTCGGCGCGAGACTGAGAGGCTTGTCGATGGTGTGTATGCGTGTGCAGTGTGCAGTTTGTCTTGCACGCGTTCGAGTACGAGGGAGACTGGCGGTGCTGATGAACTAGAGTGTCAGACCCTGCGAAGGCGGAGGAGCGAGGCAGCAGATGAGAATGAGGATGTTGTGACGAGTTGGCAACGATACGGCGATGACGATGGCGTTGATAACGTCGATGAGCATGATCAGCTACGCTAGTGTTGATGAGGGCTGTAATGGTGCTGGCGATTATGGTGGTGATGATGTTTGTGATGACGATGAGGGTGATGTTGATACTGGTGGTGATGGTGATGACGACGATACCGTCAGCGTGGGAAGAGGTGGAGGAGGGTCAGCGTGCACGAGCGGAGCACCTCTTCCTGTGCGTCCCCCCATCCTTCCCTCCGATCTGCCCGCGGCGGCCACGCACCTCACCGGGGCAGAACTCGGGGGCCGTCCCGATCCCTGGCCCGCGGAACGCGCCAGTGGCGGTGCCAGAGGCGCCGCAATAGGGGCCTAGAATCGCCCCGAGGCATCCGCGCGGACCTCGGAAAGCTTGTGCTCATGATGTTCACCACCCGCCAAACGACCCCAACCCAACCCGAAGGCCCCAATTTGCCCTCCATTTCCATGGGGGGGGGGATCGGGGAACATTGACAAAACACATGGAACCCGTACCCTCCCCCAACCCGAAATTCGGGTCAAATTCGGGTCTTCGGGTTGGGTTGGGGTGGTCTGGTAGGTAGTCTGATTTTTTTGTATCCTCCTTCGCTGCGTCGCCAGCTTTCCCGCCCCTGCTCCGGGCGTGCCAGCGGGCCGATGGGCTGCGGCGCGTCTGCAGGGAAGCAGAGGCCGGCGGCCCCCCCCGTCCGCGGCCCCGAGCCCCTGCTCCCTGGGAGAGGAGGAGCAGTCCAGATGCCACGAGCATGAGTTGATGGGCATGATCTCCACCACCACCACCAGAAGTTGGAGGGGGAGGGGTTCCTCATCCTCCTTCTCCTCCTCCTCCTCCGCCTCCTTCCCCCTCCAACTTATGGTGGTGGTGGTGGTGGAAGACAAACTCATCATGAGTGAGAGGATGAAGAGATGCCGGTACCGCTCCGCCTACGAGGCGCTCCAGCGAAACGGCGAGGGTTTGCCAGACCCGAGCGGCGTGCCACGTGGAGTCACAACCGGCGCGCGTTGGTCAAGCGATGAGTTCCAGTGGGTCAGAGGAGGAACATGTACGTACCGATATCGCGACCTTTCCTTCGTCGCCACGGCTGGACTCGCCTCGAAGTCCTGGTCAGAACGCACCCCAGGACAGGTTTGTGGAGTAGCGGTATCGGTATCTTGCCGTTCCCTCGGGCGAGACGGCACGAGCATGACCTTTCGGAGGCCCTCGCGAATTTAGCCGGGAGCCAGAACCAGGCCCCAGGACCCCACGAAGAATGCATCCAGCACTAAGATACCGCAGCTACACGCAACAGTCACCTGCCGCCAGAGTGGTTTTCGTTGCGTGGCCACAGTGGCGTTGAGAAAATTTCTGTTAGGTGGATGTCGCCTGGCCTCACGTCGGCGCACGCAGCTAGGGTTGCGCGCGCATCTGAGCGTACCTGGGTCGGGGGTCCCGCTCACCACAGACCACAGCGTAACTATACGCATCACATCCTACAGTGCGCGCTAGCTTCCCGAGGGGGTGCCTTGTCAGCCCGACAGTATGTCTTCCGAACCAGGGCCAGTCCCGAGTTGACCAGCCCCGAGTCGCACTCGGGGAAGTGCTTCGTGGCGATGCGGCGGCGTTGCGCTTCTGTGCTGCCAAATGGTTCGGCTTGGGCCGTGTTCTAGCTGTCTCGAGGTGGTCTTGGGCGGTCTTCAAGCCGTCTTTGAGGCAGTCTCAGAATACAGTCGGGCTGCCTGCGTGTACCCTCCCGGGGCCATGCTGGACCTCTGGCCAACTGTTTGAGGTTGCCAGGAGGCGGTCTCAACGCATTCTGCACGTCATGCTGGGCTCTCGTAGGGGTAGGCACCCAGTGCACCCATTCTCCGAACAGCGTACGTCAGAAGTTTGCGATGCGAACTGCTGATGATTTCATTTAACTGGGATGACGATTCATAAGTGCCGGGGGGGGGGGGCGTCGCGCAGTAGCGCTCTGTGTTATGATCGAATCATTTGTTTGGTCATGGTCCTGTTCGTGGGCGTCGTGAATCTTGTTTGGATCAGTTGGTAGTTATTCATAAGTATTCAAGCTTCGCGTGCCCCCACCAGCCCGCTCAGAAGCGTTGCCCCCCATGAGAGTTGGTGGGAGAAAGGACGACGAGACACACATAGAGTGAAGCAAAGCGGGCGCCTAGGAGGAACAGAGAGTTCTCAGGGAGCAGGGGGTTGGCCTTGGAGAGCTTCCGCGGGCCATCCCTGGAGCCCGCGGGGGGGGGGCGAGGGGCTGGAGGAGGAGGAGGAGGATGCACGCCGACTCCTGGGGCCCTCGTGGGATGCTCTTGGGGCGTTCTTGGGGCGCTCCTGGGGCCGTCTTTGGGCCGTCCTGGGGCCTTCTTGGGGCCCTCTTGGGTCTCTCTTGGGACCCTCTGGGGGCCCTGGAAATCTTCTTCCGGAAACCTTGCAAGGCGGCGAGCAAAAGACGGGGGGAGGATGCGATTTCCCTCCCCCCCTGTGCCCATCAACATCGCCTCTTAAGGCCCTTTTGGGCTGCTCTTGGGCTGCTCTTGGGCGCTCTTTGGGCCGTCTGGGGACATATTGGGCCCCCCTTGGGCCTCTCTCGGGCCATCTTAGGGCAATCTTGGGGGCTTCAAAAGCGCATCGAAAGCAGGCGAGATGCGAGAACGCACAACTCGCTGATTGTCCTTCAGTTGTTGAAGGATTTGGGCCTCTTGGTGGGGTCTTGAGGGGGTTCCGCGAGCATTTTGAACACACCTACATATACACGCCAGTCGTTGAAAGTATGTATTTCTGGCTTCCCAGATCCCAATCTACTTCAAGCGCCTTTTTTGCTGTGTTTTGTTATTCTCTGGGGGGACCTGGACCCAATCAACTTAATCCGCCTTCCTACTTCATGTTTCTACCTACTTCTTCCGACCGACGTGTAATATAATATGGACACCGCCACTGGGGCCTTAGGTGGAGCTCCCTGCCGGGCCACGAAACGCTGCGCTGGGTGGGGGAGACGCATGTGGACATCGCCACTGGGGCCTTTGGTGGAGCTCCCTATGAGGCCACGATGCGCTGTGCTGGGTTGGGGAGACGCATGTGGACACCGCCAGTGGGGCCTTAGGTGGAGCTCCCTATTACTATGAGGCCACGAAGCACTGTGCTGGGCGGGGGAGCCGCTTGTGGACACAGCCACTGGGGCCTTAGGTGGGAAAGAGCGCGTTCTGTGGTCGCTTGGAGGGGAGGGGGGTTGAATCGGACCCCCCCCGCCCCCTGGGAGGAGGAGGGGGGGGGTTCGAACCCGAAATGGGACGAATTACAACCGACTCGTCCCAATTCCAACCGTTCGGAGCGAATTGCAACCAGAAATGAGACCAGTTACAACCATGGGATCTTAAGAAGTACTTCTTTCTTCTTCAGAAGAACTTTCTTCTTCAGAAGTACTTCTTTCTTCTTCAGAAGTACTTCGATTCCTTAGGATTCCTTTGGATTCCTCAGGAATCCTTAGGATTCCTTAGGACTCCTTAGGATCCCTAGGATTCCTTGGGATCCTTAGGAATTTTGTGAGGCTTCCTCCGGATTCCTTCAGTTTTCTCAGGAATATTTGCGAATCCATTCGTATCCTGAGAAATCCTTAGGCCGACGGAGAAACCCTTAGGCCGACGGAAATGAGTTTGGTATGGGTCCCTCTTCCTATTCATTTTCCTCCTCTTCCCCCCTCCTCCTCCTGCTCCTCCTCCTCCTCATCATCCTCTCACTACCACTCAGATTTGTATTACTACGATGGCTACTACTACTACTACTACTACTACTACTACTACTACTACTACTACTACTACTACTACTACTATTACTACTATTACGACGACGACTACTACTACTACTACTACTACTCTTACTACTACTACTACTACTACTACTACTACTACTACTACTACTACTAATATTACTACTTCTACTACTTCTTCTTCTTCTTCTACTACTACTACTATTACTACTACTACTACTACTACTATTCCTACGGCTACTACCACTACCACTACTACCACCACTACCACTACCACTACCACTACCACTACCACTACTACTATTACTACTACTACTACTACTACTGCTACTACTACTACTACTATTACTGCTACTACTACTACGACTACGACTACGACGACTACTACTAATATTACTACTACGACTACAACGACTACTACTAGTACTACGACTACTACTACTACTACCGCTACTATTTCGACTACCATTACTACCATTACTACTACTACTACTGCTACTACTACTACTACCACTACTACTATTACTACTACTACTACTACTACTACTACTACTACTTCTACAACTACTACTACTACTATTCTTACTACTACCACTACTACCACTACTACTACTACTACTACTACTACTACTACTACTATTACTACTTCTACTACTACTACTACTACTACTACTACAACTACTACTACTACTACTACTACTGCTACTACTACTAATACTACTACTACTACTAATACTACGACTACTACGACCACGACCACGACTACGACGACTACTACTACTACTACTACTGTAACTACTACTACTCGTACTACCACCACATACTTCTACTACCACCTCTACTACTACTACTACTTCTACTACTACTACTTCTACTACTACTACGACTACTGCTACTACTACTACTACTACTAACATGAATACTACGACGACTACTACTACTACTACTACTACTACTACTACGACTACTATTACGACTACTACTACGACTACTACTACCACCATTACTACTAATACGATTACTACTACAGCTAATACTACGACTACGACGACGACTACTACTACTACTACCACTACGACTACGACTACGAGTCCTTCAGCTACGACTACGACTACGACTACTTCCACTACGGCTACTACTACCACCACCACTGCTACTACTAGTACTACTACTCGTACTCCTACTACTACTTTAAATATTACTACTAGGGCTACTACTACTACTAATACTACTACTACTACTACTACTGATACTACTACTACTACTGTCACTACTACTACTAATACTACTACTATTACTACTACTACTACTACTACTACTACTACTACTACTACTACTACTATTGCGACTACGAACAGTACTATTTCGATTATTTCTACTACTACTACTATCATTACCTGCGACTGCAACTACTTCTACTACTACTACTACTACTACTGCTACTACTACTACTATTACTTCTACTATTACTACTAGTAGTACTACTACTACTACGACTACTACTACGACTACTACTACTAGTAATAATACGATTATTACTACGACTACTACTACGACTACTACTACTATTACTACTACTACTACTACTACTACTACTACTACTACTACTACGACTACTACTACTACTACTACGACTACTACTACTACTACTACTACTACTACTACTAGAAGCCATTTTGCTTATTTTAGAATCGGTGCGATTCGGTGCGGTTTTGCTTACAGTTCGGTGCCTCCTTTTTCAGCTTCTCAGCTTAACATAGTGCTCGTGCGCAGACCAAACTGGGACCAAGTCCAACTCTGGCACGTATGTTGGCTTCCAGAACCTCTGCGTTGACATAAGAGGTGTCACTTGGTCCTCACAGTCGTCTTGGGGTTCTCTACACTTCAAACCTTATTGTGAGGCTATCCCAAGCAGATTG